GGCTTCTCTCTAGTGCCGGGTATGGTCCTGCTGAGACAAGTTACTGTAATACCCTGCTAACTGGAGAACCTCTCTTAAAATTGAGGCTACCGGAATGTGTGGCTGATAATTCAATTTAACAGGGCACCAAGATCCAGTAAATTAAAACAAACAAACAAACAAAACAAAACAAACCCGAAACCAAAAACCCAACGAATGTGACCCATTCTAACCCCTGTATTTTGTGACTCTTCCTTTGTCAACCGTCGTGTTGCCATCTAGTGCCCAAAACCTGTCACAAAGATCAGTTCTAATCGTCCACAAGGGTTGTCGTGTGCAAGGTTAGCTCCATACGAGTGTGCAAGGTTAGCTCCCCTAACAATAACCCACTCACCCCAATTATCTGTATTTCAGAAGGACTTGCAGAGAAGATGCTCTTCTGTAACACATTTAGGAAAAGATTCCCTACGCAGTGCTCTTCTGCTAATTAGAATATGTCCTAGCTTTAATTTTTCTTTAAAATCTAAATTTACTTTTGTTAGTCATGATGTTGGATTGAAGGGGAAGTAAATGGAAGAGACACCAATGCTTACTAGGACTGTCTGTTTAGTACCTCGGTATGCTTAGGGGAAATTGAGGAATTTTAGTGACTATTTACACTAACATCATACACACTTTAGTTCCTTCTACTCTTTAAAGAGCATCTGTGTCTGGCCAAATTATTGCTTTTTAAAATTTCTTTTTATTTTCTTATTTCCCTTCTCAAGCAATATACTATAGAATGCAGCAGTTTTCATTACATAATCCTGAACAAGAAGTGTGTCACAGCTATTCCCAGTGAGTGGTGACATCCCACAACTCTGATCTACTGAGCTGATAATAGGTTGATACTTTTCCACCTGTTATATCAAGGCTTTTTAAAAAAAAAACACCATTTAACTAGTGAGACATTGTGAGACTTGCAAACTGGAATTCTGGTCAACAGAACCCTAAAACTTGTAGTTCACATCACCTTGCCTTAACTAAGCAGACCAAATTTTCCCCATTTTAAGGATCTGTTGTACCACTCCACTATACTGTGGGGATTAAACCAACCCCAAGTTTTAAATACAGGGGAAGGAAGAAGCAGACTTAGATGAGCTGATTCTCTTTGCAAAGTTTTTCTGACAGAACACTTTGTTTTCCCGGTCAGTAAAAAAACCCCAACAAACACACTCTAATTTTCTTAGAGTTGTTTCAGTCTTCTCCCCAGGTAAACCTCACATTTTTAGCCATTTAAAGTAATTGTTGTTATAAATTTCTTACTTATCTTGCACACAATTCAACACTCTCCTGTGAACAGCAACAACTCAAGATCTTTTATAGAAAGAAAGTCGTCACTTCCGATTTGTGAGATGAGGGAGAAAACGCAGTCCTGTTTGTGTACCTCGTGTGACTGGCTACAGTCAGTTCTCAGCTTTTCTGAGGTTCAGAGGGTGAGGGCAGCACAGGAAGCTGGCTGTGAAGTCGATTTCTCAAGGACATAGAGAAACATGTAACTCAGTAACAATTAATCTCTCTGAATCACTACTGCTCACTCACCGCCACGGTAAAAACCAAAACCATCTTTAAGGTAGAAGGGGTTTGTTCTACTGCAGTCTTCGTCAGAATCCACAGATGCTCCACAGAAGACAGCTTTGTTCTTGGGAGAGTAGGGAATGCCACATACACAGAATGTGGCTGGAAAATGCGTCAGTAAACACTGGACAAATTCTCTCACCTACAGCTTTTGAATCACGTGGGGGAACCACGAACCCCTGCGACCCCACAGTTCATCAGTGAAGGCTGAGATGTTTTTCCACTACAACCACCCCTCTCTGTCAACCCCTGGAAGGGTTGCCATCTAACACACATTCACAAGGACGGGATGGGTGTCTGGGAAGCCTGATAAAGGGAGAGGGGGTTGGTTGTCTCCAATTACGGCTTTCACACCATAACCTAAAAATGACAAAAGGCACCTGCTAGAGAATCAGGCCCATTCCAGTAGCTCTAGGATATTTATTTATTGAGGAATAACCATGGGACACAGCAGTCCGGTCTCAGCCCTTCCCTCCCGGCTGCTGAGGCAGTCTGAAGCCCACCAGCCCGGCGATCTCCTGGGGCGAGCGCTCGCCCCTGCCGTGGTACTCGCGGTGCAGGGCCTCGTGCTCCCGGACGCTGCGCAGCAGGCACAGGTAGGTGGCGGCCTGGAAGTGCAGCTCCTGCTGGGCCCGGCACAGCTTCTCGCTGGTCACCTGCGGGGAGCGGCGGTCAGGGCGGCCCCGAGGCCTCGCCGAGCCCCGGGGGCTGCGGGGGCGGGACGGGGGAGGCGGCGCGTACCCGGTGCGCGCGGAAGGCCGCGAGCACGTGCCGATAGGCGGGGCTGTCGCGATAGGAGCGGCCGGCGGCGCGCCGCAGCTCGCGCAGGAGCGCGCGCAGGGTGCGCAGCGGGGCTCCCGGGGCCGCCATCTTCCGAGCCGCGCGCGGGCGCGCCGGCCAATCGAGCGCCGCCGCCGGGCCTCGCCCTCGCGCCCCGGCAGTGCGGGCAGTCGAGCGCCGAGCGAACGATCGCCTCCTTCTGCTCTCCGCCGCCCTCCCCCGCCACCGTAAGCGGCGCGGGTCCAGTGTCGGGGGTCGAGCGCCGAGACCGGGGCGGGCCCGCTGCGCGTCTCGAGCTGGGCTCTACGCGTCGTAGCCGGCCTGTGGTAACGGAGCGTGACCACAGGAGCCGCCCGAGAGGCAGGAAACTGGCTTGGGCCGCGGGCGCGTCCCTGCCAGTTTCTGGGGTATCCGGTTCAAAAGGCGCTTCGGGTCCCGCTGGAGCCAGAAGGGGACGCCCAAGACGAAGCGCAGGACCGCAGACCCACCGCAGACGGGGGGTTACAGGATTGTGTGAGACGGCGCGGCTCGAGTGCGGAAGGAAAAAAATACCCACCCCAGATGGGACTCGAACCCACAATCCCTGGCTTAGGAGGCCAATGCCTTATCCATTAGGCCACTGGGGCTGCCGCGAGGAGTCGCAGTCGATGTGCTTACTTATCTGCTGTCCCCGCCCCTTTCTTTCACAGCGCGTTTCGGAGGTCGGTGATTGGACAGCGCCGCCCAGCGCGGCTGCCGCGCGGTCCCCTGGGAGCCGGGCCAGGCGGGGCCGCGAGCCCTTAATGGCGTTCGAGGCTGCACGTCGGAAAAACGCGGTGTTCCCACAGGGAAGCGCTCCCTTCCATACTGACCCTTTACCGGTTTCTAAACTCTGGTGGTTACACACAGTGTTACCCTTGCTCGGCAGGTTCCCCTGGCTGAAGGAGGAAATAACCCGGCCAAAAGTCCCAAGAGGGCCAGCCCTTCAAGTGAAACCTTTTCCCATTTTTATTTTTGTGAGAAATCAAAACAGACATAAGGCTAGTATGTACATTCCTCTTTATTTAATACAGCACAGACACGTGACACATAAAAAAACAGAAAAGTACACTCATGAAAAAGCCTGTCGCAGTCAGGGACAGGGAACAGCTACGCCAAATTGAGTAAGGCTCCTACTGCAGAACAGGGGTCTGCCGGCAAGGGTAGATCCCAGAGCAAAGTCTGCTGCCAAAAAAAGCTTGCGCTCCTTTCAGGAAAGCAGAAAAGGGCAAGCCCCTTCTGAACAGGTGAAGGCAGCGTTACCCACAAGGTTTGCAGGATACGAACCCCATGACTGTGTTTGAATCAGAGCACTGATAAAATGAAATGCTCTCCAGTTACTCTCACAGAGGGCCAGTAGTCCTGACCTCTGAAAGCATTGGACTGCTCAGGGATAGGAAACCTGAGTACCTGGAAGGAGTGAAAACGTCAAGTAGTCACACAGAAGAGAGTTAAAATTAGCCTCCCTGACAGGGCTCTGCTAGCCACAACTGGGAATGTGCAGGGAACTAACCAGCTTCCCAACTAACAAAAGACTAACAGTCATTAAACTGTCCCATATACACACTGGAACTGACGCAGGCTTTCGAGGCAGCAGCTTCTTCCTGTTCCTGCTTCAGTTCAGGATGGAGATAAAGCAGGCACCAGTTCCTCTGGCAAAGAGCCTTACACACTTTTAAAAAATTAAAATACAAAAAAGGGAGACAGGTGTATTTACAAAATCCATGGCTGGTACAGTACATCATTTTTAAGACACACTAAATGCTACAATCTTTCAGGTCCTGAGATTATTACAAAGAAAAAAAATCCAAAACAAAACAAAAACAAACCCCAACGACTCAAAAGTTGTGTTCAGGTCCAGTTTTATAAGGAGAGAGGAAAGAAACCACATATTTAAAACACAGTATCCCTTGAAGTTATTGGAACACACCTCCCTAAAAAAATCCAAATGAAAGTGGTGCTTACCACCCAAATGTAGCTGCATTTTGTTGCTCAGGCTTGTTGTCACAAGAGGGGAGCATTTCATGGGGCAGTTTCTCAGAAGAGCTCATCAGGTAAGCACAAGGCTGTTGGGATCCTCTCTCCATCGCTAAGCCCTATGACCTGGAATGCGTGAGTGTCAAAGGAGGAAGGTGACTTTGTACAAATTCATGCTGGACTGAGGACAGCATCACAGGAATCACCAACTCAAACACGTTTGCCGTCTCATAATAACTCTGCATTCCTTTGTTTGAAGCCAAAGAATGCAAAGAATTCTAGCTGTGATTTAACACGTGTTAATTAAAAAAAAAAAAAAAATCCTCCAGCTTTTTGTTCTGAGCTCCTCAGTGAAAGGCAGCAAAATAGTTTCTCAGCCCTTCATTGTCTGGGGGATCACAGCAAGTCAGAGTTAAACTGGTTATATCTAAACTTGCTAATATATATTGTATATATGTTAAAAGTTACACCAAAGGATATGGAGGCCAAACTGCTGTTGAGGGGATATTCTCCACTGCCATTAGCTGTGCAGGGCATTCTTCACTGACCCTCTTTTAACAGGCAGGCCTAAAGGGACTTGCACCCTCACCTTTTTTTTTCCCCCCAGTGAAGTATTCTGAACATAGAGATTTTGTATCATCAGCAGATATCATCACAGATGCCTTTTTATTATAAGCACTTGACCTTAAGCTAGAGAATGGCAACTTTTTAAGGATTACTCATTAAATGCTTCTAACTCTCAGTAAAAGACTACAAGAGACAAATCACATTAACAAGGATACTAGTTTAACTGCTAAAATATAGCGCTCCTCAGTAGACTTTTTGGGGGTAAAAAGTAGTAATTTTGTTGGTTTTTTTTAAACAGTAGTCCAAAAATAAAATTTTTCCATCTATTTCCAGTACAGATCTTGATAACTATGCAAGAACATGGTACTAATTGCTACATGATGGAATCACCGGCAATAAAACACATACTACAATTCTCACCTCTGAGCTAAATTGTTATTTGTAGTCACATACAACAAGACTAAAAGACCAGTGAGAAATACCTGGGGACTGGGATTTAGTTTTTATTTAGCTGGTAACTCCCCTTGTTTAGAAGCAACTTCATATCAGTGAGAAATTAATTTAATTCACTTCACATGCTGGAAAGAAACCTGGGATGTCTCAAGAGTTTCTTCCCAAATCCAACCTGTACATTAAAAAACATTTCTCCAACTTCTAAATCCATATGTGAGAGCTGAATATTCTATAAAACTCTCAGACTAAAACCTGTCACAAAAAGTGATTTTAGCTTCCCTCTCAAGCAACTTTTTGACACTTGACATTACATGTTGCATCAGTGAAAGGGTTTCTTTTTTAAAATACAGGGTTTTTTTCATGTTAGCAAAAAGTTCTGCATTACAGACATTAAAAAATACTCAATTTTCTTTGGGTAAAATTTCAATATTAGCTGGGGTAGCTGGGGAAAGGAATGCATGTAACACTGAAACACGTAAATACTTATCTGCATAGTTGATATTCGTGACTAATAATCAAACTAAGGCCTTAGCTGGAAAAAGCTGAGAACACAAAAAAGTTTCTTCCCTCACTCTGGTGAAATCTGCTAAGTCTCAATTAAGCTCTACCTCAGCAACTGCTCAGTTTGGTCTATGATAGTGGCATTTTCTGACTGGTTTTGGTTGATTCTCCCACTCTTTTGCTCTTGGTACTAGACAATAGCAAGTATGACTATTTATTGATAAAATGCATCTGCACACATTGCTAGGAAGAAACAAAAACCCTTTTAGTATTGCACATGATAGGAGCCAAATACAGTGTATATTGCTTGGTTGGGATTACTTCACCATAAAGAACAACTTAGTAGTGAATGGTTGTTTTTTAAGTAGGAGATGACAGCAATGGCAGAGACTGATACACGCTTCTAAATACAAAACATGGTGATGGTTGGGGTAGAACTACAGCTGTCAAAAATGGCTACAAAAGACAGACCTATATCTGTGACTACTGACAATATTAGCAGTTTTACTTATGAGTGTGCAAAAACAGTTGCAGGGAATTTTTATACTTCCCCAGTTTTGGGCCAATTCCAGGCCATGTTGATCTCTCAGCATAACTCACAGCAGCACCAGGGCTTTCTAGAGCCCCAAAAGGCTATTACAGCAGCAAGGGATCACTGCATGACAGAAAAAGGATGATGAACCCTCACCAGAAGTTTCCACAAACAAAGTATTTCCCTACACAACAGTTATTTTCCCAGTAGCCCAGTAAGCATACTTCTGGCTGCTTATTTTGGCAGTGATTTCTTAAGCAGTAGACAGACACAGATTTTTTACAACAGCTGCATTTGTTAGAGACTGCAACAGTCAGCCATCATCACCAGCTGTAGATTCCTCATCCCACATATCAGCCCAAGATGAAGAGCATGTGTGTTCAAAAGGAATTAAACAATGTAATTGGTAAATGTGGTAAACTTCACTGAAGTAACTTCACTGATGCACCTAAGACAGATGAAGGAGTACCCTCTACCACTCCAACTGGCTGAGCTACCAGCAATAGTCCTATCTTTGATTGGCACCATTAGATTGGTAGGAAAAATCCACTTACGGCATAGTTTGTGTAACAGGTTAACTCAAACATGTGAAGACGAGCCAAGAACTGAGGCTATTCTCTGCCAGGAATGTATTTGGTACCATATTTTCTGGTTTCCACACTGGTTCTCCACCCATGAAGGACTCATCATTCCATTCCAACTCTGCAACATAAATGCTTCCTTTCCATATTGCAACTCAAAATTAGATCTTCCCTAGGGGAAGCACATCACAGAACTAGAACAGTCTAGTGATGCATATGCATGTTACCTTAAGTTTAGCACTTGGTCCACAAGTGAATTGCTAATTTCAGGTATTCATGCTTATAATAATCATAAGTTAGATAGAGATCCTCAGCACAAAGCTGTTAAAATCAGTAGATCATCTATTGCAGATAGCCAATTTTGTCTGAGGAGGAAACAAGCACAGATACTATATTATGAGGGTTTATCTGCAGCTAAGAACACATGAACTTACTGTTCATTATAGTAAGAGAAGAAACCACTAATGAAATCTCAACAAACTACGTAGTACAACTTGAAAAGTATGCTATGACGTCATGGTGACTTAGGCAGCATGTGAACCACAGCAAGCTTTAAACTCCATTAGCAGCTGCACTCTTGCAGGTTTTGCCTTATTCTTTCTTACATAGGATGCATGGTGGAAAGTGACAACTTTGGTAAATGTGAGAATCCTTGCAGTAACTGGTAGTGACCAGCTGCACACAAGATTCTTGCGGTTAATCTCAATTCAAATATGTTGCTAGCTGCTATTTTAACTTTATTTACCTCCCAGCTCCTTGGGGCTGTCAGCCACACATCTCTGCCTCAGACTCAGTGATTGTGTGACGCAGTCCAGTAATTAAGGTTGCCAAACAGGGCCCATAATATTTTACTTGTGATCTAATTAAGAAACCAATTCAAAACCTTCAGAGAAAAATGCAACAAGTTTCATTCCTGTTAGCCACTTCCTTTCTCTCATGCACATTTACACACACTCATGCACACACTCTTTTATTTTACTGTCGTCTTTGCACAAATGTTCAACCTTGAAGTTGTATTTAACAGAGCCAGGAGAATGGAGAAGGATGAACAGGTTTCAGGAATATTGCTTGTGTGTGTGTGTGTGTGCATGTGTGTGTGTGAGAGAGAGAATGCACAAGCACACAGAACCAATGCCACAGTACAGCGGCTATGAAGTTACATACAATACACACATGGTTTTGTTTTTTTTTTCCTTTACAAAAGGGAGAAAAACCCCAGTTTAACAGCATAATGCCATCTTGGCAAACTTAAGATTTTCCTCCAAAATGCTTTCCAGCACTTCAGGATCGCTGAGAAAAGTTTAAAGAGGGTAGGAAAATAAAATTTAAAAAAAAAAAAAAAAAAGGCACTTAAACAAAGGACAAAGGCCTGAATCAAGTAAGTCATGAAGGGTAACAGCCACTTCACCAGAGCTTGGACAAATCAAAGTCTAGCAACCTTCTTAAAAATTTCTATAAAATTAAAATTGCGTAAAGTGTTAATGAATCAGTTGTTTGCCTAATGCTTTAAATTTCTGGTTCATTTTATGGAAAAAAAAACAAAAAACAAAACAACTAACAAGCCCAAACAAAAAACCCAAGTGTCCCTTTAATGATTTTTCCCCCAGTTCAGCAAAAGATGAAAGTTAGGTATGGGGAAAAGCCTTCCTCAGTTTGGTTTGGCTGTAGATTTTCCCTGCAATGCCATCTTCAAAAAAAATCCAGAACAAAAGCAGAAGAGGGACCACTGTGCTTTCACCAATTCACACAAAAAGAAACAAACAAAAAAATTGAAATAAAAAACCCATCAACCCAAACACCCGAATGCTTCTAATCCAACTGTGGGCAAAAGCTAATCAAAAGAAAACAAAAAAACCCCCTGTAAACTAGATTAAAATTTGCTAATAAATACAGCCAAAAGTTCATTTTACAAATGTAGCAGCAAATGTGATAAAGTTAGTTGGAGTCCAAGGTGACTCCCAGAGGGTTACTGGTTCGCACAACTGATGGCAGCTTGGGAGAGTTGCAGATTTCTCTGTTTTCATGTCCTCAAGGGTCTTGCACCAAGTGGAGAAGGAGTGTGGAGGAAGGGTCAGGTGATGGGACTGAAGGAAGGAACAGGCTTTTAGCACCTGTCCCACCCCTAAATCCATGCGTAAGACAATTTTTATCAGATTCAAACACAAAGCAGAACCCAAGTAATTAAAAGTTTCTTCTGATTAGCAGAAAACAGATGTGAAACCCACAGCATCTGCACTTGTGACTCAGTTGATCAGTATTTAGACATGTTTCTTAAATCAACAGAGAAGGCTGGACAGAGTGACTTAGGCCATTTGTGTCTTGGAATGGGAGAACACTGCAGTTATAGTCCAAGGTATCAGGAAACTCTGCAGCCTGTTTTTCATCTAGCCTGCCCTCTTTCTTTGCAAGAGTCTCAAATAATTTAAAATAGCTACCATGGTTTTTGGGACTTTGGGTCATGTAGCAGGGAATACTACCCAGACAGTGTCAACATCTAAAACCTATGTTTGAAGTTATTGCTTGCATTTGTTTGGGGCTTTCAGAGAGCTTGACACGCTAGCTCGTATACAGTCCCCAAACCAAGTTCAGCCCTGCTGCCTGAAAAGACAGCTCTACTTGGCTTTCTTATTGCTTGTGAATACTGAGGGTTTATTTAGTATGTACAACTACAGTTTATTTATTAACAAAGGCCCTTAAAAAGTAGTAAAAACTTGGGGGGGGGGGGGGGGGGGAAATGTCTTCAGAAGAGCTGCTGTGCAGAAAATACTAAAACATTACCCTAATTTTGCATTCAAATGTTGCAGTAATCTTTCCCATTCTGTCTATGTTTCCTGCAAAGGTCTCTGGGAACCACCCTATTATTTCCTTTGATTTGGCCTTGCTAGGTTTAACTAAGGACAATAGAAAACAGCAAGTAAAAGGTTCCCATCCCCAATGCCATTCATTGAAAAGATGCTCAGGAGCATAATGACTAACAGGAGTATAATGACTGAAAAGAGTTACCTGCTGGGGGGGGTTGTTTGAACTGATGTCACAAACAATGTATGGTCATCTTTATTTTCATCATCCTAGTATCTATTTCCACAATAAGTATTAGTTTACTTGTTTCCCAAGACTGAGAAGCTCAACAGGACACAGAGGCAGGACTACTCCTACCCTTAACATTTAGAGAGGATATTCTTCACCTGAAGATGAAGCATACTTCCAGGAAGAAAGGAATGTTGAAAGGGAATTTGTGCTGTAGTCATAAAGGGCTCCAAGTCTCCCAGTCTAAAATTTCAGTAAGTATGAAGACAAAAGATGACAATTTGAATGGGATGCCTTGATGAGGAAAACACAGAAGAGGTAGAACTCTCTTAGGACAGGGTCCTTTAAATATATTGCTGCCCAATGGCTCACTGCCACAACTCCCCTAGCTATATGCATTGTTCAGGTTTGACACAGTTCAGAGCATTAACATCCTATCAGAACTGTTGGGCCTCAAAAAACAAAAGTTGGCTTCCTTCAACCCTTCCTGGAGAAAAGAAAAAAATATCAGATGAAGCTTGCACTCTAAATAATTGATGGTATTTTGAAAGAATTTGTGCAGTATTAATGCCAGGGTCTACACAGTGTTTGTGTTTCAACTCTAAACCTCAATGGAGATGCAAGCTTGTCTGATCAACATGTCACATACAAAACATTAGCACCAGCTAAAAAGCATTTAACTGGCAGATGCTGTGGAGTGAAACTAATGAACTAATGCATCTTAATTCAATCTGTCTTTCACAGAAGTGTTGTGCAAAAACATTTATTGCTGAGCTCAACCCAACATTTTTATACTAAATACACAATATATATTATTTTAAATTTATGTATATATATTTATATAAAATTAAAATGAGCTCTAAATAGAAAAGAAATTGTTGTCTGATCTAAGAAAAATAAATCACATGTAAAAGAAACCTGCAAGCTCTAAGTAATCTAGCAAAATACACTGAAGAGCCATTGTTCAGGGGTCAAAGTCTCTCTAAAGGTGTGAGATAACCAGTAGTGTCTGGTTCAGTCTCATGTCAAACTACCAGGAAAAACTATCTGCTAAGAATTTCAGCATCTCTGGTCAAAGGAATGTTTCAGGTTTGAAGAAGAAGGGCATCATACTGATTTATTTGCTCTTTTTCCCTATGACATATTTTAGTTTCTGCCATTCTCACCTTTCATCTGACAGCTCAAGGGACTCAACAGCAAACTTCTGTGCTAGTGACAAAAGTGCAACATGCGCTGGATGCTTCCTAATCTTACATGTGAACCAGTTGATGTTTTTATTATCAAAGAAAAAAAACCCAACAAAGCAAGCTCTGAAGTCTTGTCCTGCCATATAAGAAAGAGTTCAGGTCAAACTCCCCAGGCCAGCAGGGGCTGGAAATGCTGGAGACAACCCATTCAGCCTCCAGAAGAGAAGGCACCTCTGGTCGCTTTTGAACGACTCCTCTTTGGCTAATGCCTGAAGCAATATTAATCTGACTGGAATAGGTCACAATCAGCTTACTTTACCTAGCAAATCAATATAATGATGGCTTCTGGGAGGAGTTAGATAAAAGATGAAGCCTTAGAATGAGAAAAGAACTGGTTGTGGTTTATGAAAGACATGAAGAGAGTATCTTTCCAGTAGCAAATAAGCACAAGGTAAAGAAAGTTTAACAAATGGAAATACCGAAACATTAGCGTGATTAAAAAAGAAAGTGGGAAAATGCTAGTCTGACCAATAAAATGTGGGTTTCTTTTCATGTTAATGAATTTCTATCCCCTTCCTCCCTTAAAGAAGAACTTTTGTACTTATAAAAATCCTGAAAATAAATCAAATAGTCTGTGTCTTACATTTTGATGTACCAGGAGATCTCTGTTTGAAGACAACTCTCTATTGAGACTGCATACATCTGTAGGCTCCCTAAAGTGAAACAGCCTTCTAAAGCTGGATAAATACCCATTATCAGAAACTGCTTTTGTCTAAAGGTTTAATTGTAATGCAAAGTATCCCAGCACCATCTCTATTCTACATAAACTTTGGTCCACAACCATATAGTACACTCAGGACCTACACATACTGGGCACTTTGGGCACTAAGGAAGTGGATGATTCCACTTTATGCAATGAATGGAGAAACCTATTCTAGCACCTTTCACCATTTCCACTTTCCATTGTACTTCATCCAGAAATAAAATGTTGGTGCTGCTGTGGGTTTGACGATCAATTTCTTTTACGAGCCAATCAGAGCAGATACAAAAGGTTGTTTCTTTAGGCAATACCAAACTATGACCAGTCTGCATGACCAGGAGGACCAGTCCTCCTTTTCCTTCTCTCTTTGATCAAGTATTGTTTTATTTTTCTTCTTCCTCTCACCACAGTGCTTAGGATCAGAATATGTAAACATTGACAGAAACAGCAGCCCTGTGACAATAAGCACTTTCCCAACTGGGCAGATTCTGTCAGCCAACCAGAACTGCTTCAGCTCCCTTGCTTGTCCAGAAGTCACTGGTTTTTCCGCTGTAACTTAGTGTCCCCTTTACTTTGGCCTCCATCTGTAGTTGAGAGACAGAAACAAAAGGGAAGAATAAAAGCATGAGTGAACTTTTGTTTTTGTAACTTACAGGAGGAGAGACAGGAATTTGGCAGGTTCAGCTTTAGCATTACCAAAAAGTACATTGTCTTTACCAAGCAAAGACTTTGCATCTTTTCTGTAGTTCATTTATTAGAAATAGCATTGGTGAAACCTGATATATCAAGCTTCATACCAAAACACTGCCCAGTTTTTTGGTACTGAGAACTCTCAAATAATGAATGAAGAATGCCCACCAACCTGCTGCCACCCTTCCCATTCCTTCTCCTGGCCCCCAGAAAACACAGACAGGTGACAAAGAAAGGTGTACACTCTAAACTGCACCTTCTAAAGCTTTCTGAAAATTTTCCCGCTCTAAGCCTTACAAACAGAAAAAGAAAGTGCTCTGCTTCAAGTTTCTCTTATTAAAATATCTCCTATCAAGCATAAAAATCCTAAGGAAAGCAGACATTATATTAAGAAACCATCCCACCATTCACACATGAATATAGTCTTATAAGAAACATGAAGAAAGCTTTTAGCTAGAAGGTCAGTTTCTCCTTCAAAGGGGAAAGGAAAATTCTTAGTGGAAAAAAACTTTATACAGCCTATAAACAATCATGTTAGTGTCCAGTAAGTACTATTCCTTTTTCCCCACTAGTTGAATTTGTACACTTCAGTTTCTAGAATTGTTGCACCAAAGTAGTGGATTTTTTTACTTTCTTTTTTGTTCCTGACATTGAAGAGAAGTAGGGAAAAAGAAATCATTCAGGTTCCAAAAACACTGCTACAATAGAATAAGTTCTGCCAGCTGCTCCCAAAGTTTGTCCCTGTGTTGTGTCTTCTCTAAACTAAATACTGGTGTACATTATATTTCAGTCGAAGGATATATTATGTCTTTACCTGTGTAAGCTTGCTGCAAGTGAGCAGGCAGAGGTGAGTGAGACAGTGTTGCTGCATGCTGAGCACCTGGCTGTAAACCCTTCAGTAAGTCTGGGGGAAAAAAAGGGAGAGCAAAGATAAAAAATAGACCTTGAGGAGAGAGGCAGTGTCTGTGAAATAAATTTTTGTTTTTATAGTGTAGCTGTAGTAGCAGGCTTATCTTCACAACAAAGAATAAATACCTGATAGCATTCTGATGGCTGGAATAAGTCAACAAAGACAAACCTATGCAAATATAGTTAGTCAAAAGCCAGAGCAAGGACCATGCCTTACTACTGGGATGCAACTCTTCAAATAATTTGGTTTGGCAGAAAGACCAACATTTTATATGGATTAAGAACATAAATAGCTTCTTTATAAACAATCAGAAAAAGTAAATGCCATCTTAGTTGATAGTTCTTCATAAGAGAGCTGTGTGATTTCTGAGATTGAGTCAAGGCTACTTTGAGGAATCACCATATTAAGTCTTATTTGAACATTTGAAGACATTTAAACTACCTTTCTAAAAATAAGGTATTAGAATTTAACCCAAAAAAAGTACGTTCAAAACTAAACATATACCATGAATATAATAAAAAAAATAAGCTTATCAAAGGTGATTTATAACACTTTGGTAAAAACTTTCTTTACATAATACCTGTGAAGAAATCCCATTTACTCTCCTCTAGGTATTTTCATGAGCCAAATCTGAGTGTCTCAGGACTTTACTGCTTCCGTACTCAATTTCCATTTTAAGGATGCATCTTTCCTTACAGCACAATGTCATAATTCCACTCACTCTGAGTTAGGCTGTGGTGGAAAGCCGCTGAGGTAGATCCCGAGGTGGTTGTCACTCCAGCTGTGTCTGTCCCAAAGCCAAGCAGCTCCAAGGGAAACTGGAAGGGCACAGTCACAGGAACAAGGCCACCCAGCATCCCAAAAGGAGCTAATGGTGCAGA